GAAGACCCCAAAAAAGATCGAAATATAGCTAATCGACTGTCCTGAACATCTTGGCGTTGTTTATTCAACACAAAAAGAGTTTTCAGTGTGTTTGCGACACTAAAATTCTTTATCAGAGCCCTGTATTGACATAGAATAGCTTTTGGCCCTTAGCCACACTATATATCTTGTCTGCACTGATACGCCCTCGAAACTATGTTTTTCTGTAGGTGAAGATTGGTACTGAAGCTGAAAACTCTTTTTGTGTTGAATAAACAACGCCAAGATGTTCAGGACAGTCGATTAGCTATATTTCGATCTTTTTTGGGGTCTTCAAGCTGCAAAAACTAAGGATACCGCTTGTTCGGAAAAACGTAGTCCCCTTGGAAAACTAAGGAAAATTCGAAGTTTACTTAGATCTAGATTTAAAGAAGACACTTCAGAGTACCTATCTATTGAGAAAAATCGATAGGTTGCTATTTTAATTTCGGAAACCACAACGTTGTTTTCCAAAGATTATCGAAAAGCAGGATCTTCCGAAGAGGTGCAGAACTAATTTTTAGTTAGTGAAAGTTGTGGGAGAATGTCTATTTTGAGAATCTGAAAAGCGCAGATCGCTCTCACTTTTCTATGAGAAGTTATTTAAACAATAGCCAAGGAAGCTGTTTTTTTGGCGTCTATAACAGTTTTAAGCGCATAAATCTGCGAGAACTCGCACTAACTCATTATTACGCAATCTCGTGAAACAGCGAGCGTTACCGGGGAGACTATCTGTTGATTGTGAGAGACTTATATTTTCTCTACTTATAAGTCCTTGAGAGGTTATTGTAGAGAAACATACATTTCTTTAGGAAAAAACATGAAGTTATTGTGGGCAAAGACAAAATTCTTGTGAAAGAAACATGAAGTTATTGTGATGGAACATGGATTTCTTGTGCAGAAACAACAACGAATTTTTTGTGAAGAAACGTGAAGTTCTTGAGGAAGCAACTCGAAGTTCATGTCGAGAAACATGGATTTGTTCAGGAACAAAGATGATATTATTATGGAGAATCACGGGTTTCTTCAGGAACAACCATGCAGTTCTTGTGCAGAAACACGGATGTGTTGATCGTTAAAAGTGGGGAATCGACAAGACACAAGTTTTATTTTTAAAAACTGAATAAACCTGCCTGTATGAAGAGAGAAGAAAAATTTTCCTTCACAAATGCTCATCTGACATATGCCCCGACTATCATAATTTCTTTTTCATAATTTTTTTAAAAGTGGAGAATCGACAACACATCATTTTTGTTTTTAAAAACTGAATAAACGAAATAGGTTACTGATAGAAAGATGTAACCTTAAATATGTTGTGCGTGCCTATATTCGAAAAAAAAAGAGTAATTTTTCTAATCACAGTAGAAAAAAATTCTGATAATCGGGACATGTGTCAGATATATACTAAACATTCGAATAGTGTGAGTACTCCTTTATATTGCAATAATAATAAAGTGGAATATCTAACGTATACAACACATTAAAGAATACAATTGATCTTTAACGTACGTGTTCTTTGTTTTAATATACACAGAAATGTTTTCAACTTGCTAAGACTATGGTATATGGTTGCTATTTGCTATTGTATATGGTTTGATATTATTTGTAATCTTGCATTTGCAGTCATGAAGAATAAAAAAATAAAACAGATCAAATAATAACTGTAGAAAGATAGAAGTTCTAAATACACGATGTAATGTATCCTAGAACAAGATAATAGAAAATCGCTAAATTTTCAAGCTTCTTTTTACCGACGTGGCGAACAAGCAGTGTAGTGATTTTCTAATTTCTTTAACACATGACAATCATATTCATTCCAACAACAGAACAAATTAAATACGAAAAGAAGGTATATAATTAGATGACGTTAGAGCCAATAATCGGAATAAGTAATATTTTAGAGACAGGATAAATAGTTAATTTGTGTCAATTATGGCTGCTTCTCTAAAATATTACTTAAAAAGAAGGTAGATTTAATCTTGCAAGTGGTAAACAGTGCACAGACAAACAAGCGAAATAAACATAATTAAACATAAAACAGATCCTTTTCAAGTTTATACATTTGAAAAATTCATTACTATACATTAAACTATCTGATTCAGTCGTCGAAAAAAATTTCCTTTTTTCTCTAAAAAGCTAAAGAATTTTTAAAATCAATAAATTGAGAAAGAGGCCCACTTTAAAATTCACTTTATTATTATTGGAATATAAAGGAGTACTCATATTATTCGAATGTTTAGTAACTAAAACTTTTTACACAAGTATGATATATCCATTTTATGCAAACTTCAAAAGTGTATTTGAAAAGCTTTTTTTACTGTGATTTGTAAAAACAGATCTGTTTTTCGATTCGAAATTCAACAGTAACAATGCTTTATTTGTTTCAATCAAATTAGAACAGAATAAATTTAAATTACATTGACTAGCATCATATTCTAATTCTACATCACATTTGAAAAATAATAATTTCAAATATTCTAAATTTTTGAAATAAAAAAAAAATTTTCTATTGAAAGTTTCATCAAAATTTACTTTTTCAAATTTTATTTTTCAGAAATCATTTAATGATAACTTTGCAGTATCAATCGTATTGTCTAATTGTAAACATCGAACAAAATTTAAAGTAGTAATTATACTTGTTTGTAGAGTTGTCGTACTATTGTTAATTAATTTGACATTTTTAAGCTGAAAATCTGTTACATTTGGATAATAAGAAGTTAATAGAGTTGATAATGTTGAATATGAGATTGGAGTTGAACTATTCAAAAGTAAATTTTTCACATGATAAAAACATTTTGAATCGTATTTACGACGATAGGCATATGATTCATCATTTTTAAATTGGCATAGATTGGCAGATGTATCCCATTCAACAACTTCATACATTCCTCGAAAAACTTCTGATTTACACCTACCAGTGGCACCTCCTTCTGCTTTCATAACATTCGTTCCAATACTAATGGCGGCATCTTCTACAAAAACAAAGAGACATAGGTAAAAAATATTTTTTTTAAACATAATATTATTCTACACAAATAAATCAAACGCATACGTACCAGCAATTTTTATCCCTTCTCGAAGTTGATTGATTTCAGTCTCTTTTTCCTCTTCTAGTTTATTTCTAAACTCCTAAAGAAACCTAATACTTGTTTTGCAAGGTATCTTCAACAAGTCAAACTTGAGCGAAAACTTACATTTAAAGACTTGTCGTATTTTCCGTCAATTTCTAGTCGACGCATGTTATAATACATCACAAGACCGGACGAAATTCCATTGCCCACTTCCATTTCCAGCTAAAGAAACCAAAAACCAAACAATGCCGAGATTTCTTCTCACAATTCCGGCTATTAGGCAACTTCGTACATTTTTACCCAACCGAAATGGGCACTTTCATACAGCTCCGTCCAGTTTATACAGACCTCCGAGCCGCGAAGATTTCAATATGTGCATCGTGTAGAGCATAAAAAGTTAGCCGTAGAACATTAGGCTCATTTTTCAAAAAAACATTTGGAACATGGTTTTCTAGAGGCCTAAAGTTTTAAGGATACTTTTAGAATTTTCCTCTCAAACCTAAATAAAACCCTTGACTACTGTAGAGGAAACTATAGAGGCACAAAGCCTGAGTGAAATAGCGAAAGAGTTAGCCCGATAGCTATTGGTGTTTTTGAATAATTCGAACCAATGACACAGTTCTCGAATTTCAAATCCAGAAGTTCTTGGCCGAAGGTAAAAAAACTGATACTGACGCTTTTTGATTGGAGTAACTATGGACTTGACCAATCAAAAAGCGTCAGTTCAGTGTCAGTTTTTTTACCCCGGGCCGAAGCTCTTCACCTGCTGTTGTCACAGCTGACCACATTTTGAAGCAAAAAATTAACGTATATAGATAATACTAAACCGCAGCAAAGACATTAAATATATTGCATTCTGATTCCCTTTTTCTTTTATTTTCAGAAATTATTCATATGCAGTCGAAAAAAGACCTTTCACTAAGTTTTGAGCTTGAAAAAAGCAAAAAATACATCCGGAACAGCTAATGAATGGATTATCTGAAGAACTTTTTTCGTAGACATTCATCAGAATCGAACGTAAAATACACTTGTTTAATATTCTGAAAAAAAGTTTTAAGGCTTTAGGGACCTATAAAACAAACATTAAATTCAAACGCACCGTTGAAAATTATCTATAAAAATCATTTTTCATCAATTTCGGATGGAGAATAAGCATCAAAACATCCATTACATCTTTATAACGGTTTTTTTCTTACACTTACTTAAAGTGCCTGATTTTACTTTATTTGGACAGTGCAGACTTCGAGTCGAAGAGGGCACAAGATATAAAATTTTTGTTTTTCATGCCTTCTTTATTTCACACCCGAACATAGTCGATATTCCAGTTTTTTTCGCTCCTTGTTTAATTCGTTCTCCACCATCTTTGGATATTTGATTACCGCTGAAATATAATGCAGTCTGGTTTTTACTAGTTTCTACCAGTTCCATAATTATATGAACACTTTTGTCTTCAATTTGGTTATTATAAAAGAGTAAAGATTTAAAATTATCACTTTGTTTCAATACTTCATTAATGAAAACAAATCTTGATCTGTTATTTGATTATTACAAAGATCAAGGTATTGCAACGACGTATTTACTTTCAATGACATTGAACTTGAACTTGAATTTGAACTTTATTTACCAAAATGGAAGGACATGTAAAAAAAGCTAAAAAGCTAGTCAATAGAAGTATAATGTAACCCTATTGAATCCTGCCCTGTCTAATGCAAAGTCAATCAACAAAGAAAACAAAACAGACAAAAAACACACAGATATAAAAGCTGGAAAACAGAAAAATGATGAACACAGACACAGTAAAATACAAGCAATTAACAGTATGTTCTAAATGTTGACACAGTAGTTTTTTAAATAGTATTAAAGATGGACCGTTCACGAGTGAAATTGGCAGAGAATTCCACTCCACCGGGATTTTATAGAAAAATGACGACTGAACTGTAGTGTAGTATAGCGAGCGAATGGACAGACAACGGAACGATTATGGTTTAAGCGTTGAGAATGTCGCAGTTACAGAAGGAATTGTACTGGCTGCCAATGAGAAAAATAAAATTTAGGCAAAAACTACGTTGATTATGGCGACTCCCAAAAAGAAGTGAACGCGTAATTATAAGGAATCCGCTGTCGGATTCACCAAGAAATTTTGCACCTGGCGCCCAATTTTTTTCTAATTTGGTTCAGCGTGGAGCAAGCACCAAATTTTCTAATGTGTAGAAGCACTTTTTAACATTGGAACTTATCTCGTTTTTCAAACAACAAGAAAGAACGTTATCTATCTCTTTTTGTACAGACTTCTCTATGAATGGAGTCAGATCAGTGCGAGATAAGTGTAAAACAACATATAGGTCGTCTGCAAACAGCCTATATACAGCTACCGAGGAAGCGACAGATCTAAGATCATTTATAAAAATCAAGAATAAAATAGGGCGAAGTATCGAACCTTGGGGCACTCCAGAGCTCACATGAATTAGGTTTGAAAGAACATTGTCGATCTTAACACACTGGAACCTACATGAGATTATTAAAAGAATATTTGGAGTGAAAATTGCCATAGAAACCAAAGATGACCTGGCCGTTTAGGGGATATGATCAATTAAGTCGGTGTATCTCAGCTACGAAAGTGATTTGAAAAAAGATAATGCTTGAATTTTATCAGCTCAACTTGGCGAATCTACTCAATATCTGCTTCATGTCCTTTTTAAAACGATTTGGCGTCGAAACGTGTGGGTTTTCTGACCATTGAAACAGACCTCGTGCTTTCGACGTATAACATGTACTATACTCTCAAAAAATACGCTTTCGGGTCCAGTTTTTTGCGTAGATTAAGAAAAAATATTTTTAAAGCTATAGCACATGTTTAAAAAAAATTCTAGGACGGTTTTCATAAAAAATTATTTTCTTAGTTTCTGCAATTTTTGTAGTGTTTTCGAGTTTTTGACCACAACACTAAACTTTTTCTAAGCAGATTATACATATTCGTGTGAAAATATGAAAATAATAAATATTAATATGAAAATTGAGAGATACAAACAATATAATATGTACAACGTTTATTTTGTACTGTATTATCGCTTCCACAGACTCTGGTGCATCCGTATCAACAGCGACATCTCTAGAACTCAAAATAAAGCGGGCTCTATTAAAAGCAAGAATAAGGTAATGTACTTAACAAATAAACTGTTTAACTGTATTGAACTTTTGCTTTTAATCGCTCTGTGAAAGAAAAACAAAACTCAAACTAGTAGAGATGGTTCCTTTGCACGTTTCTATTAGTTGAATCCTCAGACAAATCATCACAACCAGAAAAAAAAAGAAAACTCGAGATTTTATAGAACAAAGAACCCAAACTTTATATTTTATACATTATATACCTTTGAGTATTAAACAAATAAGTCCCGTTTTATTGAGGAATAATGTCATAAAGTTCGATACAAACCTCACAATCTAGTTACTTTTTAACTCTTTCGTTCTTGTAGACAGGGCAGTGGTGACTGTTTTTAGTTTATTGTTTGGAATGTCTTTTCTTTTATGGAATAAAATTGACCATGATTTCTTCTTTCTTACAGCTGATGATGGTCTCAGACAATGTCTTTATTTCTTCTATTTTTATTTTCGTAGTTTAAACAAATTCTACCTTCTATCAAAAGAAAACTTAGAATCTCAGTAATGAACACTGATACCATGCCATATTTTTGTCCGTGAAAGCAAATTCTAAAACTAAAGACATTCGATTGTAGGATGTAACCGAGCTATTCTCTTGTGTTGTGACTATTGTTATTTACTTTTAACAGAAAGCGAGGAGCTGTAGAGATTATTTGAAGATAAAAATTTCTATCTATTCTATCTATTTCGTATAGTTTGATTTTTATCAATAAATTGCGAATAGGCATATAACTGCTGTGAATTGATAATGCTTATACTCTGAGCTTAGTTACAATGAGTTAATACTATTTATTAAAAAACATTATTTGTTATCTTCTTCACACTATCCTTTTAAAATAATGGTGTGACATCCTAATAAGATTTCACTTATTGCACAATATTTTTGTATTTGTCATTATAGATGCAGTCCGAGTCATCTCCTCAATCTCAACTTTCTCGATTATGTGAGTTGGAATCAGAAGATAAACCTGTACGATGTTCATCACCCGAAAAATGTGCCGTATGTCTAAATTTTAAACGTGTAAATGAAACATCATCAATTGATTCTTGTTCACATACTTTTTGTTATTCGTGCATTTGGGAATGGTCAAAAGTTCGAGCTATTTGTCCACTATGCAAACAACCCTTTACATCAATACAACGTCCGAGAAATGGCTATGCGGGAGAAATATATGAAACGATTTTGATTCGAGCACCAACACGAACTCAAATGCAAGATGTTTTTGAATGGGTCAATAGACAAGATCCAGCAGCACCTGTAATACAAAATCCACCTCCACAAGAGATATTTCGACAAATGGTCTATATGGAATGGCTACACTCTATACAGTCGATTTTTAGAATACCATCACAGACAAAGTATGTTTATATCAGCGTTAAAGGCGTTGATTAATTAATTTCTTTTGTTGTTTAGTTCAAACACTACAGTCCCTGCTCTACCGACTCGTGCATCTACCTCTATAACGACTGATCAAACCTCATCTTCTACTCTTTCGCCATTATTTCGTAGTAGTCAGAATTGGTCGTCAATCGTCTCACTGGACACCATTCAACATTATCTTCAACGCTATTTGAGACAAACAACATCGGATTTATGCCAGTCAACCATTCACTCCGCTTCTACTCGACAGACAGTAGCTTTTCGTAAGTATATTTATTTAAATTCATTGTACGTACAATTACCAATGACTGCCACACACAATCAAACGCGTCAATGTTCGCCACAATGGTACCGAGAAAATCCGGCCTGTTTACATCGTCTAGTACCATTTTTAGGTAAGTAACTTTATTTAAAATTCATTAAAAACTAGAAAACATTGAATACTTCTTTAAGTAGCGTATTTATATGTAAAATACTTTCTATCGTGGCTAAAACCAATTATGTCTGTTTTGTTCCTTACATCAGATTTTATTAGCGATAATAAGAGAAAGATGAAATATGGTGTCAAAAATTAGTCTATTTTGTTTAACTGAGAGCGCATGATTTAAATAAACGTCTGCTTCAGTCTATTTAAATTATATACCAGATAGTAGTCAACCAAGCTACCATTTATCTTAGCTTTCTATTTTGATATAAATAAATTTTAATATGTCTCTTTTAAGCTCGTGAGCTGTTGGCTCTTCTATATAATGATGAACGTACCATCCAGTTACTTATTCGTGAGATACTTCAGTCGATTCAACATAATGAAATAAAATCTCGCCGTATCAAACGTCAATTAGCTCAATATCTCGGTCGACATACCAAACATTTTCTTCATGAATTTTATTCATTTGCCCAATGTCCATATGATGTGATGGGTTTTGATCGATATGCCATCTACGCAAATGGATCGAATAGACAAGGAGAAATAGAACAGTTATCATCATCAATTATTGATGTTGTCGATAGTGGAGATGATGATGATGATGAAGAACAACGTCAACAGAATGATCCAATTAATTTAAATCAAATACCATTACCCGAAGATAATGATGATGTTGTGGAAATTCTAGAACAACAACAACACAGAGTAAATGAATTGAGATTTATTTTACTTATGGATTCAATACATAAAAATATCAATCAAAAAAATATAGTGGAGAAGAATACGATTGTTGTGCAGCGAACTGTCGTTGTTGTTCTATTTGATGATGTTAAGAATGAACAATATATCTCATTGTTGTTCTTTAGATTCTATTGAAATAAGAGATATGATTAAAAACGGTTATTCAGTCGATATGGATGATATCTAACGAGAACAGAGATAAAATAATACGTTTTTATTTTCAGCACAATCCATCAACATCTGTAAGCTCAAATCAGCAAACAACAACAGCATCGATAACTCGTTCGAGATCATCTTCGTCTACTCATTCGAGTTTTTGTGAAATTATTGATTATGTCAAACCGATACGAGAGAGAACACCAACGTTTATAACACTGACAGACGATGAAATTCAACATGAGGAGCAACCATCAATAGAATCTACAACAAAAAAACGCAAACATCGACATCATAGTAGTCGACATCATCATCGATCGAAGAAGAGTAAAAAATCCAAACATCATCATCACCATCATCATAGATCGACAAAAACATACAGACAATCTCATTTATCGTCTCAAGATGAAATAATAACAGGTTGGTGGAATAAATAGATAAATTTCGAGTTTAATTATATAAATAAGGAAAAAGCATAATGTTGAAAGCAGTAGGTTTTTTTTTAAGCTTATACATACAAACTGATGGAATTTTGCGCTCTTTCCGAAAAAAAATTTTTTATAAAGAAAACTGAGTTCTGTGGAAAAAATTTTTTTCTACAAGATGGAACTATTCAGCCACTTTTCGTCTTGATCCAGTACTTATACGAAAAATACTTCTTAAAAGCTACATAATCTGCTATGTTTAACAGCAATTGCAGTAGAAATAGACGAGATAAAAATTTCCACCATAGTGCACCTTGTAGAAAAATATGTACTCCACAAAATTCAGTTGTTTCACAGAAAAATATCAATATGTGTACTTTTTATGGGATCTGTTTCAGAAAAGAAAACGTAATAATTGGTGTATGTCCACCTAGCCTCAGATTCATCCTTATTTTTGTCCTCTTTTCAAGTCGGTTTTTCTCTTTTTTTTCTAAGAATTTTAGAGAACAGCAACAAAATCTAAAAAATGTTAATACGAATTACCCTGAAAGAACATATTTGAAAAATAGAGGAACAAAATTTCTACGCTTATAACAAGCACTTGATTTTACGCGAACAACACTCATCGCTCTACGTTTGCTCCGATCTGACTAAAGAATTTACTGCTGGTCACAGAGAAAGAAATACCTGGCGATAAATTAGATCAATTATGAGGCGTATTTTCTGTTTTCTACAAATTCAAGTGTTACGTTACTAAGAACGACGCAAAGGAACTGAAATTGTCAAAGAAACCGCATGGAAACTGACACCAAAAATAGATCGACTATCTTTATTTCTATATAATTTCCGTTTCAGATGTTGTTGAAAAACAACAAAGACTTTAGTACTCATTTATTTCTTCTTTATTATTTCAGATTTGGTTCATACGGTTTGGGAGAAAATGTTCTTTTTTCAGCGAAACAAGAATGTGATACAGACGCTCGATGCGTGATAAGTCGGGTTCTGATCTGAAATGTGTCAGAGTAATTTTCAGACTGAAAAACTCATTCCTCTTTTTCTACTTCAAATCCTCTTTAAAAACAATTCCTAATCCTCTTGCATTCCTCTTTTTTCAGAAAATTGCAATTTCTGCTGCAGCCAGATGTCCACTTAAAATTAATTAGCAGTGATCGAATGGATCAGCGGTGAAAAGAACTGTATTCACTAACCTAATTCATAGGATTTGGATGGTGTGTTTTACTATGAGATTTAGTTATTACATAAAGGTTTTAATGAGGAAATTATAACGTCATTACTAAGTGATGGCGTTAACGTCTCATTTACTTTTTTCTACTTATCATATGAGTTTTTTTTTTCTATTTAGTTCAACCACGCAAACGATCGATATCGACAAATAGTCGTGAACCATATTCATCTGTTTCTCCTCAATGTCTTCCATCATCTGTAGTTGTATCAGTGTCATCGTCCGATAATCAAACTGAATCAAGACGCTTAAGCAGTTTAATCACAATCCCGAAACGTCAACGTTTATCAACACTAACAGATATTGAGGATAAATCATATCAAGATTCCAAGAGACAAAGAGAAGATTAGTATGTTTTGTTTGGCTAGATTTTTATTTGTTTATTCGTGTATGTATATACGTGTGTGTGTGTGAGTGTAATATGACTATTTAATTCATAATAATTATTTACCATTTTTTCTAGTTTAAAGTATTTTTTTTTGACTCTTTTGTCAATTTGTATTCAAAGAGATAATGAAAAGTAAAAACGTTTATCGCAGTCTTTGCGGGCTAAAAGTAAAATCTTTGGATTGAATGAGTATTGTATAGTGATAAACTATGAATATTTATTGCCATTATCGCTAGAAATTAAATATGAAAATGTTTAGGTGAGAAACCATTTTGACAGAATACTTTATAGATGTACAACGGCTACATGGCACAATTAATTGAACTTAAATGCGATTACAAAGATTATTCATGTGAAAGAAGACAAAATTCTACAAGTTTTCAGATTTAAATTTCGTTTACGATGAACTCTAATAATAATAATGTTAGTTAAACATGAAAGAACCCTCAGTCTATCTAATTTTGCGCAGTTATGTATACATTCATTATCAATAATCTAGTGCAGATGTTGAAATAGATTTCGAACTTATAATAATCGAGAATAGAGCTGGACAGTTCCGGCTCCTGGGAGTCGTCTCTGTTGGTTTAAACTATATTTATTATTAGATAAACTTCTTGACAGTGCTAAATCGGCTCGCCATTGTATAGCAAGAAGCGCAAATCCACGATGTCGTACATTACCAATAATAATTAGAATGACAAATAAAAATAGAAATAGAAACAATAAGTAAATAGTGAACCAGAAGAAAATTAACAATAAAAATAAAAATTTGCTTATAAAAGTAAGAGAACGACTTTAGTTGCAAAATAAGAGATAAGTAAGAAGAGAGAACTGATGAGTAGAGAGGAATAATAGATTATATAATCTATTATTATCTTATAAAAATCTTATAAATTGATGAGGAAGGATTTTCCGTATTAGTAGTGTTTCAATATCGATGTCGACAGTCGAGTCACGATGTTTTATTCTATCGAAAAGTCTCAATCTAACTAAAAGGTAAATTGGGCATGAGAGAAAGAAATGCTCGACTGTTTCACTTTGAAAACAGTTACAAAGATCATCGCCTGGATTTCTGAAAATATGTCGTCTCAATACGTCAGATCTCAATGTCGAAAAGTCACAACGCATTTGGTAGAACGCGATATCAGCAATTCTATTAATTTCTGTCGTTACTCTTACTTTTGGTGTTAATTCTAACGTAGGATAACTTGGTTTGATATACCATTATTTCTGACAAACATTCTCTCACAGACGTGTGTCACTCACCTAAACGCGTGTGTCACAGAGAACTCCACCAGACCTCTCCGACAGTATTACCGCTGCTGTTCAAAACTATTTCCTAGCCGAAATACGTGCCAAAAATCTACACTTTCACACGGAGAGAGAGTCGCACAAACAATACTCCTCAAAAACATTTTTTGGTGAACGTGTGTCATCTTGAAAAGTGAGTGTATCATATACAACTCGATGCCTTCTATCCAACGGTATGGCTGATGGCAAATAAGATTCCGCGTAAAACATGTGAAATAGAGAAATACCGTCCAAACTAGTGTAATACATAATATGCCATGTTTTATTGATGTTCTGATGTAAACTTGTTTCTGTTGAGAGTTTTGATAATTGAACTATTGGTTGTATCGGTTTTAATGCATGAAGCACGCGTTTTTTTACGAAGTACGCAAAGGCTCCTAGTCCGATAAATGTTAATATGCCAGACACAGTCATGATGGTTTTTCAAAATAAGAGGTCCTTCAAGTTTTTTGAATTTTTTTCACTGATAATGTGCTCTGGGAAGACTTAAAGCTAGATATTCTTAACCAACGTGACATTCTCTATCGAGTGATGTATGATTAAGCCAAAAATAAAGTAGTGCTATAACTTCGAATTTGGAGCGCCTTACTTACCGTAATTCTGCATTATTTATCGTATAGGTTTCATTCAAAACAGTGGTGATAAGCCGTTTCATGTTCACATGATAAACGAACAACAAGTCAATCGATATGCTGAATATTGTAAATCAGCTAAATATTCTGTTGTGCACCTTGATGCAACGGGTTCTGTAGTTAGAAAACTTCCTAATAAAAAATGCGTTTATTTTTATGCTATCGTTTTTAAAGATAACGAGGATCCAACCGGCATGCTTCCTTTAGCATCCGCCTTGCTATCAGATCATACTGCAAGGGGGAAATAGCGGACTCCTGGACTCCTAGGACTCCTTTGGACTCCTATGGACTCCTTTGGACTCCTATGGACTCCTGAAGTCCAGGAGTCCAAGAACAAAGTGTTCTTTTTTGGGAATCACTTTCCAAAAAGGAACACTTTTGTTCTTTTTTGGGGAGTGATTCCCAAAAAAGAACACTTTGTTCTTGGACTCCCATAGGAGTCCAAAGGAGTCCTAGGAGTCCATAGGAGTCCGCTATTTCCCCCCTTGTCATACTGTCAGCAGTATAAGTTACTTCCTGAACACAGTACGAAGATGTATCGTTATGGT